CCCCGACGCGGCAGGCCCCGCCCCCCGCGGCAGGCCCCGCCCCCTCCCGTTTCGGGAGCCGAGACTCGCCCCCGTCCCCGTCCCCGCGCCGGCCCGCCTCGTCCCGCCTCACCCGCCCCGTTGTCACCGTCTCCCGAAGCAGGGCCTTGCTGCGGATTTCTGGGCCCTGTTCTCTGCCCTAGCCCTTACGCCTTCCCAGGCATACAAACGTCACCTCACAGAGCAAGGGTGCAGGTGCACGGGCCCCGGCACCCTCAGCAGGGGCAGCGAGCACCCTCGGGAGCGCTCCTGGCAAGGAAGGAAGCTCGGGCACGGCAAAACACACCTGGCCTGCTGGGACTTGCATCCTTAGGCTGTTGTATCACTGCTGCAGAGAGCTCCGCTGCCAGCTACAAACCGCGCACAGCGAGGCTCTGCAGCGCACCAGTGCCGCCCGCTGGTCTTACAAGCCTCACTTACGAGTGCAGCTGAAGAAATAAAAAGAGGCCAGAGCCAAGTTTCAGTGAAGAGGGAAGCTATTCATGTGGTGTGCGAATCCCAGGTCCAGAGCTGAGCAGTCTGGCTGTGCCTGCCCCTTCACATTAAGTGATAACTAATTCCTCAGTTCCCAGCAGCAGCAAGGTAACAGGCACCATTCCCTATCCGAACAGCGCAGCCTTTGCTGGGGAGCACTGGTATACCTGCACACTCTATACAGACTAGCAGCAGTCCTTGGACAGCACGCCAAGAGCAATCTCAGGCATTAATCTGTTTAAATGGCCTTTTCCATTCTTATAATTTCATTGCCTATTGCGTAACCTTTTCAAACCAACAGAAGACAAACAGTACGAGGTAACATCAATATATTTCACTGCAGTTAGTGGTTAAATGTCAAAGAATAAACATCAACACAAGCCACAGTGAACATTAAAGAAGGTGCCATCCCARGTAGAGCTGACACAGAAGAAACTTTGAACTTCCAATAGCTTTCATGTTTCAGATTTCATAGTGCACCACTTCTGGTGGCTCTTTATTCGGGTCTCCACCTCTCTCCAGATATAGGTTATTGAAGGGATATTGCTTCGGTCCCTACGAAGACAGACAGATATGAACTGCAAATTCACTACATTCAAAGAAGCAACTCACAGGAAAACAGAGAAATGTCTCCCAACATACACATGCAATCAAGGGCTGTCAGTTACAGTTCAGGTCTTATTTCTTAAGTGTTTCGGTAGAAATAGTAGAGTAGCAGGAAAGTTTGCCAGTTAGAGATGGACAGAGGTCTTCAATACAAATTCACATCCTTTAACAGAAACACCAAGGTAGTCTTGCACTTGACCTTAACCAACAGCTCACTGCACAGCACGAGGATAACATGTTGCAAAAGTGACATGCACATGCAGACTTACTCATCAAAACTATTCCAAATGACCAAATTTATACAAGCTGTAACTACAAGCACCAGGAAAAGAGAGGGGATATCAAGCATTCATCTTTAATACCATTCTGTGAAATGCAAAATACTTTATAAAAAGAAAAAGCACAGGAAGTGTCTCTATGTCAGTAGAGTATAGAGACAAATAAGGGGGAAACAAGAGACAAATAAGGGAGAAAAAAATACATCTCAGACATGCAGGAAAGTCAATGCCTGGGCCAAAGAAGGAAAATTACATCAGATAATTTAAAATTAGCTCCAATGACTACGACAGCAACAGCAGAAGCATTTTCTGTTCACCATGAGACAAGAAAGTGCTAAGTCAAGCCAGCCAAGAGAACACTTCAGGGACTGTAGGAAAACCCCTATCCCAAAGCCTGCTCGGAGCAAGGTTTCACACTCGCGCTTATCACCCAGCTTCAGTTAAACCCTCCCCAGGCACCTTAAGCGAGATGCAAGACAGCTACTTTTCTTCCTTTTGCCCGAGGGCGTCACTCACCACAGGCCTGTAAGACGGATAGATTTCTCCAAGACCAAACAGGAAYAGCATGGAAGTCAAGAAGATAAGGAAATGCTTGCGCATGGTGTGCCAGGGAACCGGCGTGGGGGATGTATCAACGCGGTTCCGGAGATACATGTCGAAGTCCCAGTGCATCTAAAAACACAGGAAAAACCCAAGCTCTCATGAAAGTTTCAGATAATCTACAACGCGTAAGAGGCTGAGGCAACTGAATCTTGCTCTCCATGCTAAAAAGYCATCCCAAATAAGCAATGGTATATCAAGCAACATCTTTTCTTCCCCATTTCCAAGCACATTTCAAAGCTGTCATAACTAGGAGTTATAAGCAAAAGAAATTTCTTACAAATCAACATCTTATTGCACTTCGAGGGCAGGAGTATCTACACAAGCCAGTGCCAGGTAGCACAAGAATACAGAATCATCTCATCATCACAAGGGTTTTCCTGGGATTGTTTCTGGCATCATTACAATGACAACTTTGAAGCATTTTGTAGCAGCAGCACTTAGTAGTAGGTTGGAAACAAGTATTGCCATTCCTACCGGCTGCCCCCAGTTATGCCTTAGGTCTTGCTGGTCCCACTGGTACCAGGGGTCTCTCTCATGAAGAGAGCGATCAGGGAGCTTTGGGTAGTCACCGTACCTATAAGAACCAAATAAAAAAAAAAATAAACAAAGGGAGAAAGAAAAAAGAAACCCATGTTAGTTTTTATACATCTCATACAAAAGTATTATACATTTATTAAAATGCAAAAAAAAGTTTCTGCAGCTCGCAAACTATGGTACATTTGAAATGCACGCATGCAACCAGCACAACTGTCAGCTATCTGTCACTGTAACAAAGGGTATTCTTTGCAGCTGCTTTTTTAGGCTCTGGAGGAAAACGCGAGCCCAAGTGGAACCACAGCCCCCTGCCCGCGCAGCGCTTTGCGGGCCCCACGATGCCCCCCGGCGCCACGCTTCCTTGCTCACCCGAAGCCGTCGTCGGGGTAGGGCTCGTAGTCCTCCACGCGCATGTTGTACTTCTTGGCGGCGGCCGCGCGCTCCTCGGGCGTGCGCGGGTACGGGCCGGGCAGCAGCTCCGCGGGCAGCCCCGAGCCTGCCGGGACACGGTCACGGTGAGCGCCATTCCGAGCCCCTCCCCGCCGCCCTCCTCCCGCTCCCGCCGCCGCCGCCGACCTGCCCGGGCCCCGCGCGGCGCCGCCGCCCACAGCCGGGCGGCCGCCCGCTGCCAGAGGACACCGCGCACGGCCGCCATCACCGCCCCACTGCGCACGCGCCAGCGACGGCGGCCGGCACGGACAGAAAGGAGAGGGGCGGGGCGAGTAAAAGGGCGGGGCGAGGGGGCGGGGCGTTGCCAGGAGACGCCGGGACGGGCAGCCTGGGCCGGGCCCGTGAGGAAATGGCGGCCGCGCGGACAGGGCCGCGGTTGCGGCCGCAGGTCCCGGGCGGGGAGCGCAGCGTTCCCGCCCCGCCGCCAYCCTCCGCGGCCGCGCACCGGCACCTCGCTGCAGCCGCTGCCGCCCCGCGCCTCTCGGGCCTGCCGGATCGATGCTAAAAAAGATCGATCTGGTGCCTGGCTGTGTTATGCAAATTGCATTTTTTAAAAATAATATTTTCAATATTATTAAAGCTAATACCGGGATTTAATTGTCTTATCTCGGTGGAGTCAGGGAAAGGCGACCAGCTGAAATGGCATGTTGATGTAGCGGTGTTATTTTTCAAACGTAAGCGATGTGTTATTGCAGATAAGATCAATACCAGCATTAAGGGCTTCTGCAGTTTACTTCATTATGTAAACTCTGCGGCAGTTGAGCTCATTTTCCTTCAGTTATTCACATCAGCCATAACGGGTAATGTCTCTATAACGATCTGCGTTATAAACCTTTGCGCATCAAMACCAACCGTGGCTAATTTGTCAATTAAAGCCGTTTGTTCTAATAACAACATCAATTACAAACCTGGTAGTTCAGCGGGGACAGCAGTGAACCGCAGAGATGCCTCCGCAGCCCCGCGTGCCGGAGGCGGGAAGCGGGGCGGCCGGCTGGAACACGGCCTGTCTGCTCAGCCCGAGGAGGGGCCGTGTCTCGTTTCTGGCATCGTGTTCGTGGCCGAGCGCCCGGCGCTTCCCGGCCTGGTGCGCGGGGCACCCGCGGGTGCTCCCTCCGGTTGGGCCCCGGCCGCGCGCCTGGGCTGGGGCCGAGGCCTCCTGCTCCTTCACGCGTGCGCCCGCCGCCTGATATCTGCCTCGGAGGAGCCTTGGAGAAGTCGTCTTYGCCGTCGTTTTGCCATTGCCTTGTGCGAGCTTTTCCTCGGCTGCATGAGTAGACCTCTGGATTTAAAGGGGGCCCCTCTTTTCCTACMACTGAGTCGATTAGTAAGTCAGGGGAGAATGTATTAATTAGGATATAGGAGAGTATGTTAATAAGACGGAGGGGAACAGGCTACGTTGTTCKCGTGAGCGCAAAGCTCTAGGCGGCCAGAACAACGCGCCTATCAACCGCGGGATGAGAAGCACCGCCCCACAGACGAAGCTTTCCTCGGAAGCGACGCCTAACCGTGGCGCCCGCTCTGGGAAAGACGGACCGTGGCGTTGGCCTCTTTCACAAGGGCTCACACAGCCCCGGCACAGACATGCTGGCAGTTCCCGGCCCGGGMGCACAAGCCATGCACGCGTTTCACGGTGCCGGGGCAGATGCCACCCAGGCCGGGCTGCCCCTTCCCGTTTCCCCGCGCCAGGCGGTGGTTGCGGCCCGTCTCCAGCGCGCAGCCCCGCGCTCCCGGTCCGCCCCGCGCCCAGGGGGCGCTGCGCGCCGCGCCGCCGCGCGCCTCCATGGCGCCCCCGCCCCGCCGCCGCCCGCTTCCGGCGCTACAAGAGGCGCGGGACTTCCGCTTCCGCGCGTGCCGTTCCGGGTTCGCGGTGGAGGCGGCGATGGCGGCGGCCTCGTCGTGCGCGGCGGGCGGGAGCCGGGCGGGCGCGGGCGCGGCGGGGCCCGGCTGGAGCGAGGCGCAGTTCCGCCGCTACGCCTTCGAGACGCGGCCCATCCCGCGCCTCAGCCACAGCGACCCGCGCGCCGAGGAGCTCATCGAGAACGAGGTGCGCGGCCGGCGAGCGGGGAGCCCCGAGCGCCCCTCACCACCACCGCCACGGCGCGGCCGCTGCCCCCGCGGCCTCGCAGCGGCACCGCGGGACGCGTTCGCCCTGAGCGCCCTGCCTTGGGGGCAGCGTTGGGGGGCACGGGCACAACGCGCACGTTGTGTGCGCGGCTGCCCCCGCGCCTGGCGCCCCTGCTGCCTCTGCTCGAGGAGCCAAGCGCTCCTCTCCCTTGCTCCTGCAGAGGCTCTGTTGGGCTGCGCAGGAGATGGGGAAATAGTCCTGCCATGTGCTTTCTCGAGGCTATCGATGAGGCTAGCAGCAAATAGGGTTTTGCAGTCTCTTTCCAGGTTCGAAACTATGTTATTGTCACCGTTTATGCGTCTCTAGCCAGGGCTGCAAGCAAGCAGAGTCTGCTATGCCTGTCTGCAGGGACAAAGTAGACTTAAAACTGTTTTCAGTTAGTGTTTGTATAACCTCATGTTAGAGATTAACAAACTAGATAGTGGAGTCCCTCCTATTGCTCCTAGAAGCTTGTGTGGGGGCTGTCCACCGCTTTCCTAAAACTACCTGTAATGTCTTGCATGCTTTTCTACTTAGGCAAGTTAATCTGCTGCTTTTATATGCCTTTATCTATTACCCTTTTYGGAGGAGAATTTGTGGTGGCAGAAATTAATGTGTTTGCTCTCAAGTTCAAGAGGTCTTTGAATCAGTRAACTCCCTGTGTCTCCCCAGGAGCCAGTGGTGCTGACAGATACGAACCTGGTTTATCCTGCGCTGAAATGGGACCTGGACTACCTCCAAGAAAACATTGGCAATGGGGACTTCTCAGTCTATAGCGCCAGCACACACAAGTTTCTGTACTACGATGAGAAGAAGATGGGCAATTTCAAGAACTTCAAGCCCAAGTCAAGCAGAGAAGAGATGAAGTTTGCTGAGTTTGTGGACAGACTTAAAGAAATACAACAGAAAGGCAGTGCTGAGAAGTAAGTGTTCGGTAGGGCTTTCTACATTTAAGTAGGGAATAAGTTTCATTTAATTATCTGTTGATGGGACTGTTAGTTCAAGCACCTGTTATCTCAGTGCAGTGTTATCAGGTTGAAATCATGCTGTTAGTTAAGCAATCTACTTTTATTGTTTCTCTGCAGAGATGTTTTTCCTCCTTTCTCTGTAGTAAGAGTTACCTAGAAAAGGCCCTAACTTCACTTTATTTTGCCAGACTGTGGTRTTGCTGGAAGGAGGGTAGTTAGCCCATGAGAAGGGAAGGGCAGTGACACTCAGACTCTTTACAGAATCCTGTGGTAATTGATGTTGCTCTTTCCTCGGGAAGATGAGGAAGAGTGGAACGTGTGCTCTGCATGTTGTTTATGCCGTTGACCCATATGGCTAACAGCTGTAAATTAGCAAGAATAATTATTTTTTATTAACAACTCAGCTTCTATCTCTGATATTGCTAGTCACCAAATAGCTTTCTAGTCGGACTTATAGATGGCTTTTTGAAGCTTTGTATGTTCGTGTCTACTGGCCCTCTTGCTCTTGTCTTTCTCAGCTTTGCATATACTTTCAAGGGCTGCCTTCTCCCCTGGAGATCTTAGAAACATTTTTTTCAGCATTGCAGACAATAGTTTCTAATACTGAGATTGTTAATATAGAAGTTTTGTTTCTTTAATCTCCTTTGTCTGCATGTTTGTGTGTCTTTAAGATAATTCAGTGTTGAGAAGTGCTGCTTTTTCTGCAATGTCCTTTGCCTTTCTACACTTCAGAAGAGGTAACTTGTAAGGCAAATGGCTTGGAGCATTCTGCCAGGGGTTGTTCCTGAGTATTTTTGGTGTTTGATTGTGACTCACTGGTTTAAATTTTCTCATTCTGCATGATCAGGGTTTGTTTTTGTTGTAAAAGTCTAAAGCCTTTCCCCTGTGATTGTTCCCCCAGAGCAATGTTCTGTACCARGAATGTTCTGTACCAGGAAATCTTTTGGCAAAGTTTGGCGGGGAGGGGGAGCATTGAAGCTGCTTCCATCCATGATTATTTGTAGTGGGTGATGATTGAACAGAATCCCTAGAAGTGAGGTCTTGATCCTGTACAGAGGAGGGTAGTATTTTCCACTCTYTTCTGTAGATGAAACCTTCTGCCTTAGAATGTCTTGTGTGTGGTGAAGGGGTATGTATACAGAGGGGCAAGTAAGTGCCTTTCTGAAGGTAAGCAAAGCAGTGCCTTTGTGTACACGGAAAAGCTTAATACTTTCTGCTTGGCTTTGGGGAAATACAGGCTATACCTGCAGCAAACCCTAAATGACACAGTTGGAAGGAAAATTGTGGTGGATTTTCTTGGCTTCAACTGGAACTGGATTAACAAACAGCAAGGGAAACGTGGCTGGGGTCAGTTGACCTCTAACTTGCTTCTTATTGGCATGGAAGGTAAGCAGTTTGATCAGCAATTCTGTATTTTAGTTCCAGAGAGTCTTTCATGTGAGTTTTAGACTAATTTGTAATGGTCCCTTCAGAGCAAGCAATGCAAAGCTTTGWTTGGGAGGGGACTGTTGTCCTATAATTTGGGCTACATAGAGAGAAATGTAAGGATAGCTTCCTTTCAGTGAATACTTGAAGGTAAACTCTCATGCAAAGGCTCTATGCAATGTTGTTAGGGCTATGTTTCCATGGATTGTTAATCATATTCTGAGATGGATCCCTCCTTACCATTTGAATACTTCAGATACTTTAAAGTGTCTAGAAGCTAACTCTTTACAGGCTGAGCAAAGCTCCCTTTTGGGGAGGAACTGTTTTTCAAATAAGACCTACATTTCATCTTGCAAAGTTAGAGGATACTGGGGAGTTTGAAGACATTTCAATCATAAAGCATCTGGAGAGAATGGAATTCCAAATAGTCATGGAAACCAATTCATCGGTGGGTGAACCAGCAAACATAGACACTACTGCAGTGTCCGCAAGGAGAGCATAATTGTCAAACAACTTTTAAAAGTAATTAATAGGGGTGTAAAATGACTTCTGTGTTTTAATATTTGAATATATTTAAGAGTCAGTGGTGGCAGTCAGACTTAGTCACAATCAGTCCATGGGCTAGAGAAAGGGGAGTTGTATTTTGAAGCCCTGATGACAAGATTTGTTTGCTTTTTTTTTTTGCACAATTAAAGACTTTTTTCTAAATCAACCTATAGGACTCCCTTTCTCTAAACTAATAGTGCTTTGTAAAAATTCATTCCTTGTAAAAATTTGTCAACTAAATGAAATGTTCTTCTCAAAAAGCTTCCCATCAACAATCACCATCTGGTGTTTGTGAAGATAAGCTGGAAATCCAAAATCTGCAGAGCATAAGTTGCTGAATATGAATTTTGAATAGAAATTGTTAAGCAAGGTAGCAGTTGCTCCAGTAAGGGCTGACTGGTGTAAWGCTCAGTTCATAGCATGTAATATTTTCCTTCCTTAGTTTTCTCTAAATGTGGAAGTGTATTTACTGTCTTTGACCCAGAATGGAATATATCTTGTTAGTAACTTTTGTAAGTGTATGTGACAATGTCTTGTTTTGACTATCAGCCTTTTCTCTTTGCAGGGAATGTGACGCCAGCTCATTATGATGAGCAGCAGAACTTCTTTGCTCAGATTAAGGGCTACAAGAGATGCATCTTGTTTCCTCCTGATCAGTTTGAGTGCCTCTACCCTTATCCTGTGCACCATCCATGTGACAGGCAGAGCCAGGTGAAAGCAGCAGATACTCTCTTCACCATGCTGAAAGGGGCATTTGTGAAAATGCAGGATGGGAGGAAGCTCCCCTGAAATTAGTCACATATGGTTTTCTGATCCTTTGCATTACCCATGTTCAGATCTGTTAAGTGAAGAGTGTGTTGAAAATAAATGGGAGGACCAGCAGTCTTTCTGTTTGTTCTGGTCAAAAGATGTTGAATTCCGACTTGCAAGTGCTAGGATTATAAGCATMTGCTGCTGATAGTGTGGCCAGAGAGCTCTTACTGCTTCCTCTGTTCTGTTTCACTGTTCACTTGTGAAAGACAGATTACTTGCTGATAAACTTCAGGATGCCCGTTTGAGTTGGTGATGCTTTGGGGATACTGCAGCAACTCACTTCAAAGTTAGGTACTAAGGGAATGTAAAAGCTAAGTAGGAAAAACATCATGAGGATATGATACTGAAAACCTCTAATGAGATCTGTCATTACAGGAAACTGAGTTTCTTATTTGTGTTTGTGCTAGGTGGACTTTGACAATCCTGACTATGAGAAGTTTCCAAACTTCCGGAGCGTTGTAGGCTATGAGACGGTGGTGGGTCCAGGCGATGTGCTCTACATACCTATGTACTGGTAAGAAGGATGTGTACAGTGACCAGCAAATAAAGTTTAAAGTTTTTTTGTTTATTTTAATCTTGGGCCAGTTTTTAAGGGAATTGTTTCAGCTTTCCCAGCATTATGTCATTTGCTGCAATAAATTGGACCGGACTGTTTCTCTTTCCTATCTGTAAAATGTATGTGATAATTCTCTCTAGTGGTGTATTGTGTACCTATCCACTAGTGTGTGCAGAAAATTATCTGTATTTAAATAAGCAGAGCTTTCCAGAAGTTCTACTTTTAGTGATAAAGAATAGATGAAGGTCTCTAGTGCAGTCTGAACACTATTGTTCATGGTATTTCACCATAGTCTGTAGCAGTCATTTCTCTTCTTTTTTTTTTTTTCTTTTTCTTTTTCTTTTTTTTTTTCCTTTTGTGTGTGTGTATGTGTGGTTTCTGTGCAGGTGGCACCACATTGAGTCTCTCCTGAATGGGGGGATTACCATCACTGTGAACTTCTGGTACAAGGTGAGTATACGCACCCTTCTATGCACCTTGGATAGCTCTGTGCCAGAGGATTTTTTTCAGGTGGAGGTGTGTGGCAAGTGCTGCCTATGTGAGAACTTCAGTGCACCAAATCCTATGCCGCAGGACTTGTCATAAGCTGAAATCTGCTTTCTCCCTTTTATGTTGTGACTGAAGAGCTGGGAGAAAGTGGGAATAATTTGCTAATTCAGTAAACATGCAAGGAGCTATTYTTCATTTTTCAGGGTGCCCCTACCCCAAAGAGAATTGAATATCCATTAAAGGCTCATCAGAAAGTGGCAATAATGAGGAACATTGAGAAGATGTTGGGAGAAGCCCTAGGAAATCCACAAGAGGTATGAAAATCCTGTTGTTGAAAGGGTTGTGGGTTAGTACAAAAGTCAAGATGCCAGCTTGGCTCTGCAGGTGTCACTGTGGGGTGGCAGAAAGCAGCATTGTGCTGCTGCTCTTCATGCTCTGTTCTCAAAATACCCTTGGGCTACAAAAGGCAAGTTCCTTAAATGATGATCCTGGAGAGGATCACTACAAACAAGGGAATAATTGTTCTTGTACTTGGGAAGTTTATTTTAGCTCTGGGCACTGCCAGGAAGAATTCTTGCTCCCAAACTCTCGTTAGCCTTTAGTGCAGCCAGAAGAGAAATAGATGCCCAGTATTTGTCAAAGCAAAGGAAGTGTTCTATATGTTGAACAGATTTCTGACAACTGAGCAGTCTCTGCTTCCCTCTCACCACCTGTCCCAGCTTTGCCTGAATTTTGTTAAAACTTCAGCTGGTATGTCAAATAACAGTGGTTTGAAGTACAAAAGGTATGATTTTTGAAGATTGGTAGATAGGAAAGTGGAAATACTCATTGTGTTTTCATGGTCTGTAATGTTCTCTGTGCAACAAACTTGAGCACACCCCTGTGAGATCAGACTTTTTCTTTGGGATCATCGTAATGCCATAGCAGACTGAAGTTCTTCCCTTCATAATCAGGCAATGCTGAGATTTTCTTGGATAAAAAGCAAAACCTTGGCAAAAGCTTCAGACCTAGAYTTTCTTCCAAGTGACCCCAAGGACGAGACAGAACACGAGCTGAGAGCATTCCTTCTGTCCYCTGAAAAGCAGCCCCTAATGACCATTGACTTTTCAGTCGCACCTTATGAGAAAGCACCAGTTTAGGATAGGAAGCTAATTTCARCCAACTGCAAGTGGGATGCTTTGGTGACAGTCCAGATTAGGTGTTTGTTGAGATTTCTGGTTAACTCCTGTGRCTGGTAGGCTGTTTGAGTATGTGCTCAGGCTTCCAAGTATTTTAATTCAAAAGATACCTTGAATTGATTCAGCATAGGCTCAGTCTGTGTTGAAATCCTCTCCCCGGAGCTCTTCAGCTCCTAAGCTGCTGTGAAGGGGAGGGAGCAGGCTGTGCTGCTGCCACTTCTGTGTACCTGTCCTGCCTAACGATCTGTCTTTGCTTTGAACAGGTGGGTCCCTTGTTGAATATGATGATTAAGGGACGGTATGACTAATGGCTGACTGCCCGGGTGGCTGATGTTGGAGCTGCTTTGTTCACGAGCAATGGAAGATACTGAGCGCTAGTATTGCACGCAGCACTTAAGAGACTGATGGGTTTTCTGGCCCATCATTGTCCCTGCCCCACTACAATACAGGGGGCTCCTGGAACTGCAGAACCATTAGAGTATCCCATCCATCCTCCACTCTCATCTAACTGAACCTCCCAAGAAAGAGTCTGCACTTACTGGAAGCTGGATTCATGCTCACTAACTTGTTGTTTTTTCCCCTCCCTCTGCCCTGTTTACCACAATGAGGAGCATGGCTTCTGGCACTCAGATACGTTGCTTAAGGATTTTTCAGGCATTTGAAGAAGAGCTTGGAGAGGAACCAGGAGTGGTTTTGTTTCCTCAGCCTCCTTGGCTTGGGTTCCATGTCTGAGTTTGTGTTGGTGCCTGCAGTGGATATAAGATGAGAAATGTTAGATTTCAGTCCTCTATTGTTAGAGGACCTGTCCATGCTCAATATTGGCACCTCTTTGTATAGTGGAAATGAACATGTGATGGCCTGTGTGTGAGGAGCAACTAGACAAATGATTAATTTCCTTCAACTTGARACATTTATGCTTGGGACTTTGGTACAGAGTAGAGAGATCAGAGTGAATTCATCTGGTATGTGAGCACTGGATCCTTTGCTGTCCAAATGACATCTSTGTTGTAGGAGTAGAGATAAACCTCCTTCTTTCTGACAGCAGCTTTCTCTGCAGAGTGAAGGCTTCTCCTGCTGTTTAAAGCTGCAGTATGGTTAAAAGGGGATGTAGCATTATGAAGGGAGATACATAAATGCCAGGGCACTCTTCAAGTCTTGGATGTTTAAGCTACATTTTTAAAAGAAGTTTTCCAGGGATGGTGAGCTTAGAAGCTCAAACTGCCATGTCAGACAGGTACAGAGCCTCCCTTTTCCCCACCAAGGGTGCTGGCTCCTTTGACTAACATGGGAAGTGCCCTTTTTACTGAAACTGCAAGAACTCGTGTGTGTGTGTGTATGGCTGCGCACCGGTGCGTGTGTTTGTGTGATGTTGTATGGCTCCTGTCCATCGGGTGAATTCACGCCAGGGTGTGATTCCCTTTGTACAGTCACGTGAAAGAAGTCAGGGCTTTCTGTTTAAATGTGGTTAAGTTTATAGTCATCCTTTATCTATTCTGGGATTTGACATGGCAAGCCAGGAAGCACCAAAGAACAGGGCAGAGTAAGTAGGAGAGCCTCTGTTCAGAGACTGTTTCAATAGTAATCCTGAAAAATCATGTGTGCTTTCTTTCTCCTCTTCCATGCAGAAGCATTAGGCTCATATGGAGGCTCTCTCTTCTCCTTTACTGTGCACTGCCTGGCTGTTCCTGACTTGGGGGTGGAGCAAGGGAGCTGTATATTTAGTGCGGTTGTAATGGGTTCCAGGAGCTAGAGGTAGGAGAAACTGTTTCATACCCCATCTAACTCATCCCAGAGCCTAGTGGGAGATTGTTCAATTTAGACTTCCCAGTGCTTTCCCCTTTGTTCTTCAGGGCTTGTTCTGACATGCTTTTCTGATAAATGTGTTGAGAAGATGCTGCTGAGGAAGCACTTTTTAGCTTCAGGTCCCATCTTGTCCCAAGACAGCTCATGTACCACTTGCTGTGAGCTCCTCTTGTACGAAGGTGGAAGACTTCTCTAATGGGAGTCCAAGGAGCTTGTTCTATAGCTGCTTTACAGGTCAGGAGAAGAAAAAAGAAGTGTAATTGGCAGCTGCCCGGGCTCTTATTGCAAAATGTGTCCACATTGCTGAGTAATCTGATTGCCATGCTAGTTGTTGCAGACTATCCAGAGCTCTGGTTGACAAAAGACAAAGGTCACTCAGCTGGATGCTTTTCAATACACAGCCTTTGGGCAGGTGGGGAAGAAGGCCAGGCTAGAGACTCTGGCCAGCAAATAAAGCCTTCCCAGGAAATCTGGGGTACCTGCATAGCCTCTGCATTAGTTGGAAGATGTTCAAGTGAAATTCCAGCTCTGTGCTACTTATTTAGCACAAGGTAGATTCAAGTACTACTTGTTAGGCACCATCAGTTCTTGAAGCTCAGGGTGGGAGTTCACATCCCTTGTGGAGAGGGAATGGTACATGTGGAACTTACGGATTTTTTTCTTTATTTGCCAAAGGTCTAACTTTAAGTGTCTGAACAGTTTTTGCTGCACTTGACTTTGTGAAAGCTCATTTACAATGCACTGATGGACTGACTCCCCCCTTCCCTTTTCACCTTGTGCTTTCAATGCCCCTTGCCATGGTATTGGGAAGCTGTGTGTGTTCTATGCTGGGGTGTGTGTGCAGGGGGTGGGGTGTGAGAAACACACGGTACCTTCTGAAGTGTAGTTCTTAAATACAACCAACGTTGAACAACAGAAGTGTATGGCTCTTATTCTGGGTCTCGATAGGACTGCTTTTCAAGGAGATGTGCACCTGAAGTTACTGTTCAGTCTTTCTAATAACTCTGCTTGTATTTGCTAGTGAAGGTTTGTAGTTTCTAGACTGCCTTCAAAATAGCAATATTGTCTTCATTACTGTGTGTACTTTCCTGTGAACATGCCCATGAGCCTGAGGGGAAAAAAAGCTGGAAATAAGACCATATCCTTGAATTCTGTCAAGTATGAAAAAAAATCCCTTCACTGCTGGCCTGAGTGGGAAATCTATGCTGTGGTCACTGACCTACRGGGCAAGTTACACCATCAAGTATAAGGAATTGTCAGTTGTTTCTCCTGTGGGATATCTTCACCTGGCCTTGGTCCTTTATCYGATTTGTACTTTGGACAAAGTGGTTTTGGTGGGAGGCTTCTTCTGTACATCTGTTGGGTGTTGGCAGCCTCAGGTGCTAGAATCTGATCTACTTATTTTTAAAAATGTTACTTTACAATAATATTAGCTCTACAGTCCCCTTGCATATAACCATCGATGAAACATTGGTGGCTTAATCTGGACAAGTCCCTATTGTYTATTATGGGAGAGAACTGGATAAAGGTGCTGTGTGTGCCAAACAGCCGTCCAACATCTGGACTGAAGTCCAACAACTGATGTTTCTAACACCCTCAGAGAGCCAACATCTGTTTGGAGAGCAGGAAAGGTAAGTGGATGTGGTTCTATGGTCATAGGTGCTCCCCCATCCATGCTGTGCCTGCTGGAATCATCCTCTCTGAACACACAGTTGCTAATGGTCTACTGAATACTGTTCTGTGTTCCACGTGTCTCATCCTCCAGTCTGTGTTCTCCACATACCTTTTAGGTAACACAAATGGATGGTACCACAAAGCTTAGAAATGTCTCTGGGAGTGCAGAGGAAGAGAGGGAGTTGAGATATGAGAACTGCCACTTGAAAAGCAGATAAGAGGGAAGGTTTTCCCTGGTACTTCTAGTCTTTCTGGTTTGCTAATTCTCTTAGATGCTGCAATATCTTTAATCTTTTGCCTCCTTCATTACCCAGTTCTTGGAAAAGTGGGATTTTTCAGGGAGGAGAGTCATTTCTTTTTATCTTCATAGATCCTGGCTGCCAGAACTTACTTGTAGAAAGAGAAGAGCATGTTTTTTCTTCCCCTTCCCATCAGCTTCTAGCACTCTTGGTACTTGAGGAAGTGGAGCTTCTGCTTACAAGCAGCCCCCAAGAAAAAGAGGTGAACCCAGGTTGAGGCTTTTTGCTTCACAACACCTGTTACCAGTGAGCAGGCAAGCTGAGCTTGAACAAAGCCAACTGTTCCTCAACTTGGCCTGTCAAAGCCCTGGAAGGGGAAGAGTGTGCTCAGGGTCCTAATCTTTTAATAGGCCTTAGGTGAGTGRTCCAGTCATGCTGCTCTCCGTCCCCTGAAAGTGGAGCAGTAGCTGGAGTGGCAACTAGTGCCCTGGCACATACTTTTTCATAATGGTTTCCTCAAAGCTTCCCTCCTGTTACATGGGTGTGAGGAGCTCCCTGACACTCTTTCATAGTTCCATCTTTGTTCCTGCTATGGAGCCAGCATTGCTTCTGCCCATGTCCTGGCAAGTTCTGAAGTCTCTGTTTTCCCTATGCACTTTCCTGCATTTCTGCTGTGTAGAAGGAGTTCCTGCCAAGGGAAAGAGGAGGAGATGCTGCTACAGTGACAAACACATGCAAAGTAAGTTCTAATTACTGCCTCACAAAGTCAAATATTTGTTGCAAACGGAGGACTAATTGTGGGGGGAGGGAACGGAAGTAGAGGCTCTTGGAGCGTAAGTGGAACAGATGCCCGGACGCCTTGGGGAAACGCAGCTTTCCTTTACAAATCAGAGCTTTAAATTACAAGGCTTTTACCAACGAGAACAGTTGTGGGAAGTCGTCTGCTCTCATTTGCGTAATGGCTTCTGTCACTGGTGATTAGACACAGGATGAAGGAAAAGAAATTTGACAATTAGGAATGAGCGATCATTAATCAGAATCTTTGTTAGAAGGAGGGAAGGGGGGAGAACGCCCTGCAAACAATGGAGGCAGCCCCAGGAGCCACGGTCAAGGCCACAAGCCGCCCGGCTCCGGAGGGCCAGTGCTGCTCTGCAGAGCCCCCACCGCCGAGCAGCAGCGACCGCCTCTGCTCCCCGAAAAGCTGCGGCAGGGAGACGGGAGAATCCTTCCCTTGCTGTTTGTGACTTTATAGAGCAAACTGCTCTATAAGCAAGATGGCATTCTGGAGCCCTCTTCTTGCCCTGTCAACACTTTGTGCTTCCTTTTCAGTGTCTGTGTGCAAGCAGCCAGAGAAAAAAGTCCTACGCACATTCTTGCAGTTTCTCCCCAAACATTGAATATGGCCTTGAAGCTTCTAGTGGAGAAGAACAGAAAGGGGTCTTGACTGGTGTGCAGAAAGATTAGGATGAGCAAAACAAACACAGTTCAAGTTCTTCTCCTGATAAGGTCTTTACTATGAGAGCAAGGAGGAAGCTGATGGGAGGCATGACAGGTAAAGAAAAGAAAACAGTTACGATTGTTCCATGTTGCTGTCAGTTGCTGGCTTAGCTGATCATCCAGCCAAGCACAATCTAGTGATACACATTTATTTGTTTTTGTGTTTTTGAATCAAATTACCAAAACACGTGAAGCTGTTGCCTATTTTTTCTCACAACTGCCATCTTTGAAGACATTCTGCCTGAATGCTGCTGTCTGGAGGCAGAGACAGGGATACAGTGAGCAGAACATTCAGCCTTACATCAATAAGCAAACTCATATCCTTCAGGTGAGAGCTTATGTTCCAGCAAAGCAAGGTTTGGCTAGAAGACAGGTCAAGTGCAAGCACAAAGGGCTACATGGCAGCCCGGGACATCAGTGCTTCCTGCTTCAATGCCCGTGCTGGGCTCATCTGTGGGCTTAAAACAACTCTTGTCAACCTCCTTCTCTTCAGTGGAATGACACTTAGATCTTGATACACACTCAATACAGTCCTGTTTGTTTGCCAGACATAATGCTATATCTGTAGCAGCCACTGAGTGGTTATTAACCCTCTTGGAGCAAGAGAGTTTCCCATCAAGTTGGGAGTGGAGAAAAAAAATCTATGATGGTGTGTTGCATAAACTTATTTAGAGCAAACATATACCTCTTGGTTTCTAGAACATTCCAAGAGGAATATATATATATATATATATATGTGAGGAGAACTGGAGGCCTACCTGGAGGAGAACTGGAGGCCTACCACAAAGAAAGGGCAGGTAGTGCTTATTGTCTCCCAACCTTTTACTCAATGGTGAGATGTTTAACCATTTACTGTGCTTCATTCAAGTTGCTTGTCCAGAGGAAAATATTTTTAAGGAGAAAACTTGAGGAAATTGGATAAGATATTTCAGAGTTCTCAAAGAGAAATAGTTGTATGTATATGACAGTCTATCTGTGTCTTTCCTTATAATTCCTGAACCACTTGCATGTTTCAGTAAAAGCTTACAGACCTTGATGCTACTTAAGTGGTAGGAACATGACAAGAATTAGAGCCTTAGTAGAGGAGACCATCCTAGTGGTCTTAGCAGGAGTACAAAGACAACTCAGCTCTCGCCGTTTGGAAAAGGCAGTAGCTAGTTGGTCTACCAGCACACACATAGGTTGAAATTGGTGACAGTCTGCAGTGCTGCTTGTCTAGGGAAACAGCAAAGATGAACACAGAAGGAATATTTAGGAGAGAAGGGGTATGACAGGATAGCTTAGGTCAGTAAAAGAACAGGAGGTTCTCGCAAGGGAATATATATAGCAAATACGAGATGCTATGGGCATACTGTAGTGAGTAGTGTTCATGTGAAATGAAGGGTGTGTGAGAGATGGCTGTAGGACACAGACATGTTTTTAGTTCTCTTAAAGACTGAGATGGATTTGTATTTCAAAGTTTTGCAGAAGTAAACAAGGGGGCATGGTTTTCAGAAAGAGGCACTGCTGCTTGTTAGATCAGCCAAAGTAATTTGGGGTGAATGGCAGACAAGTTCTGGGGCATGTAAAGCTGCTGGATGCATTGTCTTAAGACRTGAACTTACTGAAGTCATTGGGGTTTTTGTTTGTTTTTTGTTAAGGACTTGTGTCTTTGGAAGGCTAGACTGTTAGCTCAGGGCAGAGGTCTCCAGGGTGATTATTCTGTCTGCGATTAGAAATCAAAGCAGAAATCTGCAGAGGGGACAGCTGAGCAATTTTTCCTTGTGCCCAGCTGGCTCCAACATCAGACAAATGGTGGCAGATTTCATTTTCAGCCTCTTCTTGTGGCCAGTATTGTTTACCAGAAGAACTCAAAAATAAAAGAGGAAATAGCAGATCTCAGGACAGGATTTAACTATGGGTTTGTTTGTTTGTTTCTTCTGGATACCTGGAGTTGGATCATTGAAAGTTTTGATAAGAACTGTCTTGGATTTGATTTGAAACCCTCTAGCCAGGATAGGGAAAAGTGCTTACATTGCCTTATGTTATAAGACGATCTACTGCAAGTTAGGTAGTCTGTGAACTTCTCAGGCACAGATGACCTCATGCAATAAGCTACATGAGCAATCAAGTTAGCTGAAAGCTGCTAAAGGGGTAAGGTAAAATCATCTGTCTCTTAAAAGTGTCAGTCTCTTGTCACAGAGAAGGTGTATCAGAGGGTAACTGTGACATCCCAGGGAGTGTTTTTTGTGGGAGAGTTTTGTACCAGGGATGCTGAACTGATTCTCAGAAAGCCTGGCTGCTTGGAGCTCCCTTGGTAGGGTTTTAGCTTTCGATGGTTTCTTACAAGATGGTCTTACCAGTCTTGTATCCCTCAGGGTGATAAGCCTCAGGTAACAGAATTACTGGTCCTGGCAGAGACTTGGTT